TGTCTTAATCATGGATTATAATTCGCGTCTCGAGATTGCCTTTCAAGGAGTGCATTGAATAAACTTTCATCAGGATTCGAAGATCGAGGAGCACAGCCACTGAACGGAGGTTCAGCTGCACAGAGTTCAGCCCTGCACGTATTCGATGCATTTTTGGGTGTTGTGCACGACGGTGATGAAGGCGATTATCTGCAAACACAATGGGACTATATGCCGCCTGAACATCGTAACTTCATCAAATGGGTTCGAAAGAGGGCGATTCAACTTATTCCAACGATTCAACAGGCGGCTGAATACCAAAAGACAATCGAAACATTGAAACATTTTCGGTGTGAACACATCAAAGTGGTATGCACTGAATTCCGTCTTTAGTTATATATTTTTTCAGAGACGAATTGAATTTTTGAGCAGATAAAATCATCGAAGAAAATTTTCCCGAAAAGAGTAAAACTTTTTGGCTAAATATTCCCATAAATTGTTCACCTTATACTGGTTTTTTCTGTCCATGCTAGTGTTGCTACTGTTGGAAATTCGAGAAAACAAGAGAAGACATGTTCTAATGACCATATTCCAGGTCACCAGCTATATCGTGGTACCGTCAAGTGCGAATAAACCAGGCGTTGGAACGGGTGGAACATCGTTTATGAAACTTTTGAAGAAGATCCGGGATGACTGCTTATCCCATTGATTCTTTTTCTTGATCCGATTTTTGATCCGTTTTTTTTTNCTTTTGAAGAAGATCCGGGATGACTGCTTATCCCATTGATTCTTTTTCTTGATCCGATTTTTGATCCGTTTTTTTTTCGCCATGAATTTGAGCATATCTGGAATAAAAGCTTCAAAAAATGTTTCTCCGCATTGTTGATAATCTTTTCCAATCTGATAATTTGTAAGATGAATGAAAACATCAACAGAAAGATGGAACACGAAGGCGTTTCATTAGACTATACACGTCCAATGATTTTAACAAGAGAAATTTATAGAAATTTCTCCTCGTAATTATATGGTGCTCAATTTTGAATGAGAACATAAAATTTGTTAATTAAAAAATTTTACATTCCAGACGACTCCTACGATTTTATGCTTCGGAATTCTTTTAACAAGCTATTTGGCTTGAGCCGATACGAGCTAGACTTATCAGGATAGCACACGCAATGAATGATGATATGCTTATTGCTGCTGGATGATGAAAATAACAGTGCAGAAAATTATTCCCACTGGAAAGGCTTGACTCATTTAATAGCATTCTTCGGATGAACTCCCTTCATTTGAGAAGAAGAATTTCAGTGGAAGGCTAAGTTGACTGAGTTATGCTTTTCAACGACTGTTTGAATTTCTGTTCCGATTCTATCGATTTCTATTTGTGTTTCGGTTTGGACGTCATGTGTGATAGGCTCTAAATTCATATCGAATCAAATGAAATCTTGCCGTATTCGTTGCGCGATGTGGTTTTTGATTCTTACTTTTTGTTGATATTTACAATTGCAAAATCAACACGAAGATGATTCGATGCCCTTCAGTGTGTTTATTCAGG